CTACTAGGGTGGAGGCCATCGCTCTTCGGTTGGAGGCCATCGCTACTGGGGGGGTGGCCATTCCTCTTCGGTGGGAGGCCATCGCTACCAGGGTGGAGGCCATCGCTTCTGGGGTTGGAGGCCATCGCTTCTAGGGTGGAGGCAACCGCCCTTCGGTTGGAAGGCCATCGCTACTTCGGTTGGAGGCCATTGCTTGTCGGGTGGAGGCCATCACTTTTAGCGTGGAGGCCATCGCTCTTCGGTTGGAGGCCATCGCTTCTAGGGTGGAGGTCAGAGTCAGCCATGTGCGACGCTCTCGCTGTTCTCGGTCCTGGTAGTCAATCCGCCCGAAGAAAAGCCCTTGGAAGCCGACCTGTGAGGAGTTGGCCAATAGGTCATACAAAAATGTGACACGGTGTCCCCTCTTCCATCCGTGGGGAGGCAACTGATATGCCATTCAGCTGAGCATGTTGGACTTGGATCACTCGTTGGACCACGTGTCATTCTTGCCGAACTGAGAATCTCTAGTGTCTTGTTCGACCAAAACCAATTGCACGATGCTGCCACATAATGTTCGCCACCCATACTGGTCACTTATATAAGGCGACGCGCGATGTGGCTATGAAAGTATTATGCACAAAAAGGGAAGGAGCAATTGAATATCACCTCAGGTCCTAGGTCCTAGGGCCTCCTAGGGCCTAGCCAGGCTGCCACTCCCCACAACATCAACCACCGAAACAGACCGGGCTGATTTCTCAGTCTTAACCAAAAGCAGGCTTTTCACTAGGCTCCCCCCAACCTCCCCCAGTCCCCAGGCTCACTAGGCTCACCCGCCTCAGCAGAGAGAAGAGCCGCCTGGGTGGCTGAATGCCCAAAGGGATCCAACTGCCAACCTGTCCTGCCCGGCGATGTGTGCTGCGCACCGCACGAGCGCCATGAAGACCGAAGTAACACCTGCCCGGCCCGGCGTAAAGAAATGCCAAGTCCCATATTTGCACGATGCAAAAGGATGGAAAGCACCAAAGAACTAGGATTTCCTATAGTAGTATCTATATAATACCTATATATATATATATACCCCCAAACAGGCTGAAATTGTAGCCTTCATGAAATTGCACTGGCAGCAGAAAACTCATGAGTCATACCTATGCGGCTGCTCAATCTATTCTTACCACCAACTGGGATGGAATTTCGAGTACAAAACAAGCAGGGCTCCAGAAACAGTTGCGATTCACAAGGACTCGCTCCCAAGTCACCCACATGACTTCGGGGCTTTTTCTATCTTTTTCTTTTCGGCACAGCAAGTTGCCACGAGAGCCAGGGGGTCACAACCCGGTGGAACCGAGTCCGAGGGTTGTCTTCGTACGGCGAGTTCTCGCGGCTCCAAGAGAAGAACCACGTCGGTCGGTTCCGATCGCTGTGAAAAACCTAGGAGACCCGGCAGGTGAACTTGGATCGCTCGGCTCAAATCATGGGTGATGGTTCACGATGTGCACGTGCCACACACAACCAAACTGAACAAGCCGATGGTTCATCGTCTGGCACCGGCAAATGGTCTGAAAGTGTTTTGCCGGCCTAAAGCAATGCCAACACATTCCAATGACATGTCAACCTGTGTTCTCGTTTTTGTCCGAACAACGATGTGTCTGGGCCCTAAACCAGCGGGCCAACGCATCACAAAAAGAAAGACATGGTGTCGCCGTGAGTCCTCGGAGCCACTCCAAACTCGTCCATCAAGAATTTGTGGCCCAAGGTGGTTTGGTCGATCATATCCTGGTGGCAAGGACACCACACCAAGGACACGCCTGACTCCAGCCTGGTCGGCCACAGGACAGCAAGGCACAGCAAGGCACAGCAAGGACACGACACGGCGCACAGCAAGGCTTCGGGGCAGAACCGAAGCCACCGCGGTGGTGAAGAACCGAAGCCACCGCGGTGCCGGCCACCGTTCACGTGCGTGGTGCCGGCACCGGAGACCAGGAGCGAGACAGGCCAAACGAATGCGAAGGTTCGGGGGCACAAGAAAGCAACCTCGCGCAGAACTCAAACCCGTCGCCTGGAGGCCTGTCCCTTGTTTCTGGCCGGTGGGGGGCCTGTGAATGCTAAGGGCTGGGGTAAAACTTCCCAAGTTTGGTGGACTAAAGGGTGTTGCCTCTCGCATGGATGAGCATATCGCATGAACAGGCACTTGCATATCGCTCGGCTCACATTCTCGGGCGCTCGTCCAAAGGGCCGTCTCAGCTCATCTCGTCCACAACAAAAACGTGGCGGATGGTCATGACACCGGGACGGACAGAAGACCCTGAAGCTGTGAAGAAGCTCGAAGCTGTGAAGAATCAAGAGCAGACTAAGACAAAAGACCCACTTCCATCCGATGGTCCGCGGCCAAGTTCGACGACCAAGTTCGAAAAAAACCATCCGATGGTCTGTCCATCTCGCGGTGATTGGATACAATCCCAACCAGGATTGGATACCATGCACGTGACCAGGGAGTTCTGGGAACTCGGTCTTTCACCACCCCGCCACTCTTCTTTCACCACCAACGCCCGTTGACCAACGCCCCAACAAACCATGCGTTTCGAGCATCAATGTAATGCGGGGCTGCTTCATCATGCATGCACCAGCCACCGTTGGTGAACTCCAGCCTGACCGTTGCCGTTGCTTTCGAGTTCGACGTCGCGGTCGCGGTCGGTACCGACCTGGAGAACCTCACCGTAACCACCGACGGCTCTGATCCAGAGCCGAAGCACCTGGTGGCTATTCTGGTGGAATTCGTCGACACAAAACCGCGGGACAAGTCGTCTGTAAACAAAACGGTTCATCACAAGCGAAACAAGCTGGTGCACCAGAATGTTTGCCGCGGAATGCTTGCCGCGCCCACCAGAGGCATTTCTGAGGTTGACCCACAGCATGTATGCTAAAAATCTTTAGTGAAACAATGGTTGCTGGAATCTCAGGGTTCCAGCCTGACCAAATTCCCAATACTTTCAGGTCCCTGCTGGAACCTTGAAACCGCTTGGATCCAGCGACTGGCCCGGAACCCACACCAGCCACACCGGTCATTAGCGGCAACGCATGGGCAGCAGGCCTTCCCTCCTTGACCAGGGTCTTCACCAAGGCTCTCGTCGCCGCGTCCTGCTGCCGCCACCAGCGAACGAAGAAGGCCTCGGCCCCGTTCCGTTGCGACGGCGGGACGTCGCGGCGCATGTCCCGACCAGACACCAAAACGAACCTCAGCGGCCGTGAACAAAGGAAACGGCCTCCAACGCCGGTCGTCGCGTTTTTGGTCGAGACGCAATGCCCTGACCAAATGGCGCTGAATCCCGGTGATCAGGTGAACATACTTCAAAATGTGAATATGGGTGTGCACCATTTACCCAGGTCATTCACTATAGGCACAGTGACTAGTGACGATCTAAGCGAAAGATGCTGGACATATACTCTCAAAAACTGTGCCATCCATTGTGCAGGTTGTTTGCACAACATAGAGCTTGAAATTGAAACTTCTGGACGGTCTGGTGGGCATGCACAAGAAGGGATGCCATCTGTAGATTCCAGGCTTCCTTGGTCATTCCAACCTTGCCTACCAACTCTTCGCATTTCACCGCCCTCTGTGGATGTTGATTCTAATTCAACATGCCAAGACGACCGCGGTGTTGATATTCAGCGGCCAAGTCGATCAACAAATCGGAAAGGTCGACCCTTTCATCTTTCGCTTTTTTTGGTCGGCCGGAACGAAAGACACCAAGATGGAGGCCGTTTGGTGGTTAGGCGGCCTCCCCGAAGGGAAAGGAAAGCTCGTCCCTTTAGGAGGGTTTTGGAAGAAAACCGCCCTTGTGCCACAACTGCCCTTGTGTCATGACCTACTATCAGAGGTTGGAGGCCATCGCTTTTAGGTTGGAGACCATTGCTTTTAGTTTGCGGCCGGGGCTCCCTGAGCCAGGATTGCTTGCCAGACAGCGTAGCAAGACCCCCCAACAACATGTCTTTTTCCGGGCCTGCTCCACATAGGTGAAGGTGCGGTTCCGGTTCATCGCCAAGCTTTGGACGACTGTGTCCAAAATCATGTGGACATACGCATGCCTCGGTGCAGTGCAGCCACACAGCACGGACTCCGGCAACGTTGGAGTTCACATGTCTCACATGACACCTATGTTGCGGACACCAAGGACAGTGGAGAGTCTTGCTGAGAACAAAGTTCGACAAGTCGCCAACTCCAATGGAATAGCAACGCCTGCTGGAAGGTCACCTCTGCCAATCTGTGTTGCAACCAAGGATCTGAATCGAGTTGTTCTGCCCGGAGTAGTACTCATCGACCGTCTTTAACCAACCGACATCATCATGTGTGTGACATACAATATGCACCTCAGGCCGAGGCATCACGCTCAGAATTTGGGGCCGGTCGCAGAGAGTTTGTCGCAGGGGGCTCTTCGGGCCCCTTTCCAGTTTCTCGGGCTTAGGAGCTGGAGCGACCGGAGCACACCTAATTCACGGTCCCGAAGCCGTGTCTTGAAACCGAGAACAAGGAGCAATGGATCCGGACTGCAAACAGCAGGTGTTTCAATCACCTTTAAACCCGAGAGTTGAGGAGCAAACAATGTACATCCTGAGAAAGAGAAAAATTATACCAGCGTAGACCCCAAACAGAGCAATGTTCAAAAATGAGATCTCCGAACAATATGGCCAGCAGTATTTCCTAGAGGAAGAAAACTATAGTCCACCATGTAGACGCACATACAAGATTCAAAGGAAAAGCATTAAAATTCTGCTTTTCATTGACTTTACAATGGGACGCCGTACAAGGGCTAAAACATGAAATTTATGGATCCAGGTTGTGACATAGGGCTAAGACATGTGGGAGACAAGTGTGAAATCATGCGGCCAGAGAACTCAGAGCATCCAGAGCTTACTGGGAGACAAGTGGGAGACAAGTGTGAAATCATGCGGCCAGAGCACTCAGAGCATCCAGAGCTTACTGGGAGACAAGTGGGAAACAAATGAGAGACAAGTATAAAATCATGCGGCCAGAGCACTAGAGCATCCAGAGCTTACTGGGAGACAAGTGGGAGACAAATGGGAGACAAGCATGAAATCATGCGGCCAAAGCACTGAGAGCATCCAGAGCTTACTGGGAGACAACTGGGAGACAAGTGGGAGACAAATGGGAGACAAGTATAAAATCATGCGTGAGAGCATCCAGAGCTTGGTGGGAGACAAGTGGGAGACAAGTGGGAGACAAATGGGAGACAAGTATAAAATCATGCGGCCAACGCACTCAGAGCATCCAGAGCTTACTGGGAGACAAATGGGACACAAGTATCAAATCATGCGGCCAGAGCACTCAGAGCATCCAGAGCTTACTGGGAGACAAGTGGGAGACAAGTGTGAAATCATGCGGCCAAAGCACTCAGAGCATCCAGAGCTTACTGGGAGACAAGTGGGAAACAAATGGGACACAAGTATAAAATCATGCGGCCAGAGCACTCAGAGCATCCAGAGCTTACTGGGAGACAAGTGGGAGACAAGTGTGAAATCATGCGGCCAGAGCACTCAGAGCATCCAGAGCTTACTCGGAGACAAGTGGGAGACAAATGGGAGACAAGCCTGAAATCATGCGGCCAGAG